CGGCAGCAGGACAAACTGACAGGCATGTGGTGGATAAGCTTGTTAATGCCTTTGCATATGAGGAGAGTACAGCAAGGTGCCTGGTGTGTGAGTTACTGTTGTAAAAGGAATACTTTTTATGACTTTGGGTCTTCATAAGACCCCCGAGGTACCAGGAGCCATATGTAGGGATCCAGAGCAGAGTTGTTCTGCCTTTTGAGGAGTGGTGAAGGGGTCTGCTGGAAAATGAACTTCTTGAGAACCTCAGCAGCCTCTCCCTACATGGCATCTTGTTTCGTTTTAAATTTAATTATGGAAAATTTCTGACTTAGGCAAGAGGAGGGGGGGGATAAAAGGCATAGTGAACTGTGCATACTCGTCAACCAGTTTCAGCAATTACAGACATGCTACCACTTTGGGTTCCTCTTAGTCCCTGCCCCGTCTCCCCTGTGGATTTTAAAGCAACTCCCAGATCTCATCTCATTTTACCCATAAATACTTCCGCCTGAATCTCTTAAGGGTTTCCCTTTCAACAAAACCCTAATCGTTCCCAGCAAAATGAACAATGACTACTTAACTCTCAAATTCCGGGTCCGGGATCTGATTTCTCCGGTATTCCCCACGTTGACTTTGACGTCTTCGCTAAGTTTGTTCAGATTCCTATCCCCAGCCCTCCTGCTACCACAGTCCCTCTTGAGCCTGCTGAAATGAGGGGGCAGGATGCTGGTGGTTGGCTGTCGCTTCTCCTGGTGGCTCTCTTGCTTTTGCTCCTGTTGCTATGGAAATGGTATAGTCACAGAGGGGTGTTGTGACACCTGAGAATCCTGAGGGCCAGGGAGACACGGAGCCATTTGTTCTTGATATCTGGTCCATGAACCTAGGTAGTAAGGACATTGAAAAACATGTGCAAGACCCAGAGGTTTATTTCAAGAATTTCCTGGCTCTGAAAACCCCTCAGAGGTTCCCCCTCCCCCCTCCCGAGGCTGCTTCCCCATAAGCCAAGGGAAGGTTGGGGGTCCATGAGCCTGAGTTTTGAAAGGAAAAGCTGTACCTGTTGCTCCTAGTAAACGACCGTCCTGCGGGGTCGCCTTTGGGGACATTTGATGAGGCGGAGCCTCCCTGTAATCTTTGTGATTTTGTTCCTACTTAGTGGGTCATTCCGAGCCTACCCAGGCAATTTGTTAAGAGTTTGGGCAGTTAATGACCATAAACTTGACCTTCACATTAACCTAGCCGCCTCTTGTCAAGGGCTCTCATGATCTTCAGGTAAACAGCCACTGCTTCCATGCGTTCCCACCTTTTTGTTGGTTTTGCCTCTTTCTTTTTTTTTTTGCCTCTTTCTTTTTATTCCTTTTTGTCACCAGGTAGATGCATAAGCCCGGCTCCTTTCAGTACATAGTCTAGTCTCTTATCTAGAAAGTTTCCGTGGGGCTAAGCCTCATTTCTGTAAGAGGCCTTTGTCCCATCCTCTCTCCCAGCTGTCCGGTGCCCCTTCATGAGAGCTGAGGAAGGAGGTGCCAATATGTCAGTCTTGTCTGCTGAATTTGGGGAGAGGGGCCTGTGCAGGAATGGTAGGGCCAGTCGAGGCTGGAACATCTTGACTAACAGCAACCCTGCCCCGCCAAAGAGGAGTTAGCTGTACCTTCCTTATAGTGGGTGTGTGTGTGTCCTGGTGGCGCTGTGGGTTAGGCATTGGGCTGCTTACCTCAAGGTCAGCGGTTCAAGCCCACCAGTAGCTCCGTGTGAGGCTGTCTGCTCCTGTAAAGACTGACAGTCTTGGGAACCCTACATACAGGGTCACTGTGAGTCGAAATCGACTGTAGCAGTAGGTTTCCCCATAGGTAACATTTTCCACTGCGGATTCCAGCCTGGTCCAACAGAGTGCTTCTTAAAAACAGCCATTTCTTAGGGTGCAGACTTTGTGACTAAGGAAGCCTGGTGGCCTACTGATTAAGCTCTCAGCTGCTAACCAGAAGGTCAATGGTTTGAACCCAGCCAGCAGCTGTTTGGGAGAAAAGACCTACTAATCTGTTCCCATAAAGATGACAGCCAAGAAACCCTGTGGGGCAGTTGGACTTTGTCACATGGGGCCACTTTGAGTCAAAATGGACTCGATGGTACCCAGCAACAGCCTTGTTCCTGGCTCCACGTCAAGGATTTTCCCATATTGTCTCTTTCAGGCCTCACAACCCCTTGAAGTGTAGTTACTACTGTTAACCTTGGTATCAGGAGGAGGCAGGACCAGCTCAGTTATATTGGTCTGCAGAAGGAAGAGGGAGCAAGAAGCCTGGTGCCCATATTGGCAGGACCGTGGATAAAGCTAACTTGCTTTAGGAATACAGGATTTCTTTACCAAGAGCTGTTTGTATCAGCAGTATGGTACCTGATGAACCCACTGTGTTTCTGTGCTTTGTGGAGTATATTGGCCCAGTAGCCATTCCTTTATGAGGAGTATCCAGTTCAATCATTTGACTCCACAGAAATGGTCTGGAAACTTGGTCCAGAAGGCATGGAGTAGAATGGCCAGTTCTGAGTTGGCTTCCGAAGGGGTGATTTCACGTCCCTGTCAGCTCAGGCAGGTCCCCAGGCCTAGGCATCCAGGACCTGAAATCATACAGTCCCCACATGGTTTCTCCTGCCCACTTGTCTCAAGGGAGCCTGACAAGCCAGGGTGTAATCATTAGCATAGTGGAACTTCCCCCACTTTTCTTGAGGGATTTTGTCACTGTCTAGAAAGTGGGCTCCCTCTGGTAGTGAAGTCCTCTCTGACATGAACTGTGCCAACGTCAGCTTAGTGGATCTGCTTAGACCTGGTTGCTGTTTCATGGACTCAGTCATTATGCTGTGGTGGCCCGTGGGATTGCTAATCTCTATTCCAGTTAGTTTGATCTTTAAAAAAAAAAAATATATATATATATATATAAATATATATATATGTGTGTGTGTGTGTATTTCCTGTTGAACACTTTGCAGAAAATAGTAAGACCCTGTGTGGCACTGGGTTAATGTGCTGGACTGCACAATTGATTTGAACTACAAGGTTGGAGGTTCAAGCTCACCATTCACTCCTTGGAAACTCACAGATTTGCTATGAATTGGAACCGACTTGACTACACTTAACAGCAATAACACGTCATACAAGGAATTCTGGTTAGGCAACGGATAGACTAACTGGTTAGCCCATCCTTGGGAGAAAGACGAGGGAGTCTGCTTCAGTAAAGATGCCAACCTCGGAAACCCTTAGGGTCGTTCTACTCAGTCTTGCAGGATTGTAATGCATTGGAACTGACTCAGTGGCAGTGGATTTCGTTTTGATTTTGTTATACATTGTTCAATGTTCAGTGGATGTCGCTAATGGTTCACGCATGCAGCTACTAATAGAAAAGATTAGGGATTCCAATATGCCAAGAGGTGCTTCAGAAGAAAGACCTGGTGATCTGCTTCTGAAAGAGCACAGCCACTGAAAATCCTACAGAGTGCAGTCCTATGAAGGACACACATGGAGTCTCTGTGAGTGGAACTTGACTTGATGGCCGCTGGTTTAGTCTTGCCGGATGGATGGCTGGGAGGGCATCTCTGTTGTCATCTGAGAGCACCCCTGGCCCAACTTGTGCTCTGAGGCAGTTGGAAGCATGGCAAGGCCAGTGGTCCTGAGGACATAGTGGTCAGTCAGGTGTCACTGTGTCCTCTTTCATAAACCACCAGAAGGACCCTGGTGGCACACTGGGTGGTGAAGTGTTGGGCTGCTGATGGCAAGGGCTGCAGTTTGGCTCCACCAATTTCTTTGCTCCCTTAACAACTGACGATCTCAGCAATTTCAAGGAGCAGTTCTACTCTCTCCTATAGGGTTGCTAGGAGTTGGAATCGACCGCTGGTTTGGGTTTTTTATTACTATTATTGTTTGGCTCCTATTTATTTTTCCACCTCTCCCAACTTCATGGAAACAGAGTTCCAAGTATCTGTTACCCATTTTGTACAAAGTGGCAGCCTCGGTCTCACTGAACCCAGACATGCCAGGGTGGTTAACGCCGTTCACAGGGAACCCCTTTGTGGAGAGGAGAGTGTGGGGCCCACTGGAGTGCTGCTGGACAGTCCTGCCTCGAGGAGGTCTTTGGAATGGAAAGACTTTTGGTGCTCCTCAAGCCATCTCTTTTTTTGGAGGGAAGGAGGAGTAAAGGGTTAGGTCTAGGTTAGGCCTAGGGTTTTGTGTTACGGTTAGGGTTAGGAATAACGTTCGGGCTAAGAGTAGGGCTTGGTCTAGTTTTAGGGTTACAGTGAAGGGTTTTTGGTTTTTTTGGAACTTGTTTGATTTTCCTCTTCATTTGGAAGTTCTGTAAATGACAGGATTCCTTCCTTGTATTTCTTTTTTCTTGCAAACTGCTATCTCTGGTTCTCTACTTTCAGTCTTGTAGCTTTGTTTTGCTTTGGATACTTCCATATCTGGGTTGGAACTCTATATATATATATTTTTTCCCTTCCCTCTCACCCCTAGTAACTATCATAGAATGTTGTTTTTAGCAAGAAAACCTTTTCTTAAGAAAGAAAACCGTTTAAGTTTTTACAACAGTGATCTCATACAATATTTTAATCTTTTGTGATAATTCCTTTAGGTTCATCCATATTTTGAAGTGTTTCACAGATTTAGCATTATTCGTCAAGTTGCTCAGCATTGGGTGTGTGTTTGGTGATTTTCTTAAGGGATCTATCCTGCTTAGACTTTGTTCAGCTTCTTGAATACATGTCTTCTCATCTTTCATGATATTAGGGAAGTTTTCTTCAAAATTCTTTCACAATTTTCTCTGTGATGGTTTTTTTGTTGTTGCATTTTCATCTCTTTCTGTTCTGGAATTCCAACCTCACATAAGTTATTCCTCTTGATGGTGTCCCGTATAATTCTTAGGCTTTCTAAGGAATTTTTGGTTCTTTTTTCTGGTTGCCCTCTAGCAAATGACTATTGAGAGGTTAGTTTTCAAGCTCATCACTTTGGACTTCTGGCTGTCTCTTTGTCCCTCGGCCCCCAGATGTCAGATGTGAAGCAGCCCGTGCCTTGGTCCAGGCCAGTGTGGGGTGTTGAGTCTGGGTACAGACCTCAGGGGATCTTGGGCAAAGATCCCTTGCTGCTGCTGTCTGGTGAGAGGGTGTGGGTGAGGGGTTTCTGGGGATCCTGTCTGGCTCTCTGGGCGTGTGGCTCTTGTCATTTCTATTTTTGCCCTACAAGGAAGACGCAGGAATAGGCAGAGGTGACGCCCTGGGCTCCAATCCTGCCAAGCACACCCCTAGCCTCCCATAACTCTAGTGTCCGCATCTGCACAGTGAAGCTAACAGTGGCTCCCAGCTTGACTGGGTGTTGGAGTGGGAAGAGTCAGAGGGCATCAAGTAGGGTGGCCATAGTGATCTTGGCTCTCTATCTCACTAGTCAGACGGCAGTGCTAGCTCCAGCTGTGTGACCCCTCCAGCTGTGTGACCCCTCCCACCTCCGAAACAAATCTCTTCACTTTCTCAAAACCCTTTGAGTTCCTCGTGTCTGAAACTCTCTCCAGGGTTTTTCCAGATTCTGGCTGGGTGGTCTCTTTGTCCCTCTGGGCTTCATTTTATATATCAAGAGTTTCCCTGTTCTGAAGTTGTATGTACATCCCTGCCCAATGCTTCCTTGCCCGCACTTTCCTTTACACAGTAAGCAGTTGCGAATGCTTAGCTCATCTCCACAGGGCCTTTTGTGGGTGCCAGGCTGTCTGGTTGACTGTTCTGGCAGTTTGGCTGGCCCTCCCTGCATTCCTATGCAGGGTGGCAAGCCGGCTGCCCACGGGGTTCCCATTGGGGCACGCCTCAGCCTCCAGGTCTGTCCCAGTAATGTCCTCCCAGCAGGAGGCGGGAAGTTGGCCATGTCACCCAGTAACTGCTTGGCGGCTGGGGCTGGTGAGCCAAGAGGAAACCAGTTTCCCCAGTCCAAGGCCATGAGTTGAGGTGGGGCTGCTCCCAACATGTGTGTCAGGCCACACCCAAGCCAGAAGGCACCTGGCTCTTCCAGAATGCTGGCTGCTCTCCCACAGTGTGAAGCCTTCTTGCCCAGGGCAGCCCCTCTTGATTTACCAGAAAGCTGCATGGGGTCCCCTGTCTTGTGCTTCCCTTTTAAACATTTGAGTTTTGTGTCCATCATTCTGTGTCTGAGAGCTGTTCTTGACCTCTGCCCGGGGCTCCGGGGTCAGGGATGGAGGTGGTTGAGCTCCTTGGGTTTAAGCCAGACCCATCCTGTCTTCTTTGAACTAGCAGTGAGTGCTTCTAGGAAGGCCTCCTGGGGAGCAGCATTCAGGTGGCTACAAGAGAAGGGTTCTGGAGGGTGGTCTGGTTGCTTGTTTTTCCACAAAGCCTGTCAGAACCTTTTGCAGTACTGGAACCCACCCACCCAAAACCAAACCTACTGCCATCAAGTCAGTTCTGCCTCACAGTGATTCTATAGGACAGAGTAGAACTAACTGCCTCATCTTTCTCCCATGGAGTAGCTAGTGAGTTCGAACTGCCAACCTTTCAGTTAAGCAGCTCAGTGCTTCTTTGGGGCTTCAGGGACAGTCTTGCCTAATTAGGTTGTTCTCCCCAACTGACCTCAGACTGTCTAAACAGGCCTAGAGCGTTTTTTTTTGACTCCCTTGTTAGCCTTTCAGAGCCAGGCGTCACAGTTCTAACTCTCCACTTTCACTTCCTGATGGATTGGCTACAGGGAAGAATTTTTACCATCTCACCTGAGAAGCTTTCCCTTTCCATGGTCATCTTTTGGAAACTTTTTTTTTTTGTACCAGCTCCTGTACTCTTGACAAGTGTGTTTGTGGGTCTGGCCCAGAAGCTGGGTTTTCCAGTGACTCCCTTCTGTACCCTCACCCTCACCCCACCCCCCTCCACCCGCTTGATCGATTTTAGAGGGTGCGGTCAGCTTTATTAATACTGGGGTTTGAAATGGCGAGCAGTAGAAACTATAGGATAGGGAGATGGGGGTGGGGTGGGGTGAGCCAGATGGGTAACAGGAGGAAGAGAGGCAGGTTGGCAGTGGGTGAGATGTGGGTGACGCCTTCTTTCAGTGAAGTCAGGTGAGGACCTGCCCCTTTTCTTCCACCTGGTGCAGCTGACTCACTGGCCCTGTTCACTGATGTTCTCATGGGGCTCTTGTAAAGAAAGTCCTTTCTGTGTTGAGTGGCTATAGTATAGTCCAGGCTGGCCACTAGGAGTCTCTGGTGGTTGTGGGGGACCAGGAATCTGAGGAACACCTCTGGTTTAGAACTGTGGCGAGTCCCACTCTCTGTCCACAGCCATCGATCCCTCCAACCCCCAGGTAGAATGGTAGCTAACTTTAGGTGCCTTGAGGTGCTGGGGCGGAGTGAGTAACCCCAAGCTCTGTGAGGTGGGCTCCTTGGGGCTCCCTGAGAAGAGACACTTTTATGGTCCATTGAGTTTCAGAAGTGCTCAGATGGGCTTTTCTGGACTTTTGGTAGCATTAAGTGTGGCAAGCCCCCACATTGGGACTTGCTAAACTCATCTGACCACAGACCGTGTCTCCCAACACCACTGGCTCTGTGGACTTTTGGGAAGTAGTGGTTAGAGTCTTCCCAGTATTAGTGGTTCAGCCCTTCCCTTCCCTCTAGCCCTTTTCTGGGGACGATGAGGGACGGGGTCTTAAGGCCTTTCTGGGTGTGCCCTTGCTCTGCCTCTTCCTCTCCTTGACTATCATGGGCCAGACCAAAGCAGCTCCCCTGAGGCTCCCGCTCACAGTGGTTCTGGGATTGGTTTGTAGGGAGGATGGTGAGCTGGAAGAAGGTGAACTTGAAGATGATGGGGCTGAGGAGACCCAGGACACCTCCGGAGGACCGGAGCGGAGCCGCAAGGACAAGGGGGAGAAGTACCACAGTGACTCGGATGAGGAGAAGGTGCACCGGAGGCTGAAGCGGAAGCGGAAGAAAGAGCGGGAGAAGGAGAAGAGGCGATCAAAGAAGAGGAGGAAATCCAAGCACAAGGTAGGGCTGCCGAGAGCCCCGGGCACAGAGCTGTCGATGCAGTTCCAGCAGGTGCTCACTCGGTCATCGCCGAAAGATCTTAAAAAAAACAAAAAAAAAGGTGGCAGCTCATCCTTTGTTGCCACAGATGTCCCTAGGTAAGGTATCTCTAGGTGTGTCCAGTGTGGTCCAATGTGGTCTGTCCCTGCCGCAGAGTCACCATGTCCCCTTCCCTCTCATTGCAGCGTCACGCCTCCTCTAGCGATGACTTCTCCGACTTCTCCGATGACTCGGACTTCAGCCCCAGTGAGAAGGGGCACCGCAAATACCGGGAGTACAGCCCCCCGTACCCACCGGTGAGTCCGTCTGTGGAGCTCACCCCTATTACACACTGCCCCCCGCCCACCTTTTTTAAAAATTGTGGTGACATGAGTAAGTTAGTGGACAAATTGTTATCTTTCAATTCCATTTTTTCCATGAGCCATTTTGAAGTCCTCTCATTTATATGACAAGACACTTGGCATTCACCTATTCTTACTGATAATCAGTTCAGTGACATGATTTACCATGTTGTACAGCCATCACCAATACTGGTTTCCTGATATATTCCTCACCCTTAACAGCTATTCAGTCCTCTAAGCAGTAACGCCCACTCTCTGTCTCCCAGCGAGCCCTGGTAACTACTGATGAACTCTGGGCTCTTCATCTGCCTCCTTTGGGCTCTTGGATTAAGTGGAATTGTACTCTGTCCTCTTGGGTCACCCGTTTTCACTCATGCTGGGCACATTCTTACAAGGAACTTGACATGGAATTTCTCACACAATCTTCTGAGGTGTCAGGTATTGTTCTGATCCCCATTCTATGGGTGAGGAAACTGAGACTTAGAAAATGTCAACCAGGGTACATCCAGCTCAAGTGGAGGAGCTGGGATTCAAACCAGTAGCTGATCTCGTAAGCCACGCTCCTAGTCCTAGTCTCTGCTGCTTCTTCACTATGGGCTTGACAGGACTCAGTATGTCCCCAAGAACGATGGTGATGGGGCCACAGCAAGAGCTGCCTCTTTTCCACTTCAGAATCGACCTGTGAAAACTGGAGAGGCAGTGAGATGGGTCCAGGGGTCAGCTTTCCTCCAGTGTCCTGTGGCAGGAAGGCACGTTCTTTCACCAGTGTGTTTCTGAGCTGGAACATAGATTTCAATTGGGATACTGATTTTTCCTTTGCCCAATAATAATCTAAAGAAGTGGGGGAAATCCACTTGGGTTTTCACGTTTTAGTTAAGAAACGTTTCCAAGTTCGTAGCTCTTCAAAGCTGCCCCGTGCCTTGGGCCTCAGCATTGTTCATCAGAGTGAATGATTTGTTCTGAGAGGTTGTGATTGAATTGGATCTTCTAATGTAGCTTCAGGCCTCACAGCTGCAGGGCTGTGGTACATCCACCGTAGGAAGTAGAGGGAACGCCACTCACTTCAGTTGTGAGCAGGGGGCTGAAGTATTTGTGTGTGTGTGTCTCTGTCTGGAGCCCTGGGTGGCACATATGATTAACACTGGACTGCTCATCTAAAGGATGGTGGTTCGAGTCCACCCTGACATGCCTTGGAAAAAAGGCCTAGAGATCTAATTCTGAAATGTCTGCTGTTCAAACCTGTGGAGTGCACTTCTACTGTACATGGGGGCGCCGTGAATTGGCATTGACTTGATGGTCCCTGTTTGTTTTTTTGTTTTTTTTTGTCTTCCTGTCTGTCAGTCTATCCAACCAATTTTCTACCTACCTACTTAGCCAGCCACCTACTGACCTCTCTTTACCTGGCACCACTGGCGCTCGCACACGGTGGAAAGCATCCCTTGAAGGAGCTTTCTAGTTGGGTTGCCTAACAGGCCATAAGTTGAATTCTAAGGCTCCAGGAACATTGTGGCTGAGGAGCACCCTAGAACCTGCCAGGCCCCCCTCCCCCAAATGTGCTCACTGGACCCTAGGGAAATGCCCCCTTCTCTGCCCCACACTTCTTTTCCATGTTTCTCAGTGCTTTAGGCTGTGCTTCTAGAAGGCAGCAGGGTCACACAGAGTGACCTGTCTGTTCAGGGAGGAGGAGGGGTCTTAGGGGTCTGTCTGACTGGGAAGTTGGCTGGCTCAGCCCTCCTGCCTAACCCCTTTTGTCTCTGGGCCCGGCAGTCCCACCAGCAGTACCCCTCTTCGCACCCCACATCTCTGCCCAAGAAGTCCTACTCCAAGATGGACAGCAAGGGCTACAACATGTACGAGGACTACGAGAACGAGCAGTATGGGGAGTACGAGGGGGAGGAGGAGGAGGACCTGGCCAAGGATGACTACGACGACTTCACCAAAGAGCTGAACCAGTACCGGCGTGCCAAGGAGGGCAGCGGCCGAGGCCGAGGTGAGCCCGGCCGTGCTGTGTCTGGGATGGGGTGCAGCAGGGAGCTGCACATGCTGGGCACGGGACACCTGAGGGGAGATGGCCAGTGTGGCTACTGAAGGGTTTCTTGTTGTCTTTCCTCATCCACTTCCTGGTAGTGGGGACAGGAATGGCCTGGTAATGGTTTGATAGGGTCCAGGAGGCACAGGGGCTGTGTGAATAACACTGAACTTCCAGAAGAGAAAATTGGTCCTTTTTCCTTCTCTGGTTAAACCTGGGAGAAAGCCTTGTCTGCGCCTGACTTGACCCTGGTAGCTCAGTAGTTGAAAGCACTGGACTGGTCATTGGAAGGTCAGTGATTGGGACCCAGCAATCTGGGTTCTGCAGTGGAAGGAAGAGGCAGTCGGCCTTGGAAACCCTGTCGTCTCCTAGGGGCAGTTCTACGCTGTCCTATTGGGCTGCTGTGAGTCTCAACATCAGCAGGGGTCTGGTTAACCCTTCCTGGTTCAGGGAGCCCTGGTAACGCAGTGGTTAAGTACTTGGCTGCTCACTGAAAGGTCAGCAGCTTGAACCCACCAAGAGCTCCCAGGGAGAAAGACCTGTTTCTGTGGATATGATAGCCTAGGAAACCCCGTGAGACAGTCAAGGCCCCCAACAATAGGACTGTAAGCTAATCAGTTACTGATGAGCTGTGGGGAAAGGAAGTGGGGGATGGGCCACGGTGACTGACTACTGGCCACTCCCCATCCCTGCCCAACTCCCATCACCTGACCAGGTGAGACTGTGGCCCTCTGTGACTGCCACGCCTCTGAACCTTGACCTGTGTCAGTTGGGAGGATGATGGGGGAGGGACAGAGAAAACAAGGCAATCCAGCTTGACCTCTTAGGTTCACCTCCAGCCCTGAACCTTCTGGCCTAGCATTCTTACTCAAGAAGCATGTGAGCCCCATCCCAGGTCTTGCTTACTGTTTGGGTGGTGGTTCAGGTGACCATTGGGTGCAGGTCACCTGCTCCTGGGGAGCTTCTGCTGCCAGTGCTGCTTGGTGGAAATAAGAGGGGCTCCAAAAGTTGGTGGGAAAATTCCATTGTCTTTTCATTCCATTTTTCCATCAACTGTTAAAAGCTCCCTCGTATAATGCACACCACCACATGATTTTGAAATTTCATAGTAGACATGTTTTTTTTAAAGTAAAAGGGAACTGGTGGTATTGACTTTGTTGTTGTCAAATGCCATCAAGTAGGTTCTGACTCATAGCGACCCTGTAGAGGGTTTCCAAGGAGCAGCTGGTGGATTTGAACTGCCAACCTTGTGTCCTACAGCACCACATCAGGAGTCCAGTATTGACTTCAGTAACATTTTATTTGACCTAATCAAAATGTTAGGAGTCCTAGTGGTATAGTGGGTTATGTATTGGACTGCTTACTGTATTGTCAGCAGTTCGAATCCACCAGTTGCTCCACATTAGAAAGACGAGACTTTCTGCTCCTGTAAAGATTTACAGCCTCGGAAACCCTATACAGGGTCCCTATGAATTAGAACCAGCTGAACAACACACAATCAACCAACTATTAAACATTTCAACACATAATAAGTTTGAACATGTTTGTAGTAACGCACCTGTGTGGTGGAAATGGTTTGGGGATTTACGTCTACCCAAGGTGGTCCTGCAGAAGAAAGGCCTGGCTATCTGCTTCCGGGTGGACAAGCCACGAAACCCTGAGCACTCAGTTCTAACATGTGGAGTTGCTCTTATGTATTGAATTGTGTTTCCCAAATCATGTGTTGTAAATCTAAACGTCTGTACCTCTGGTTGTCATCCCATGTGGGAAAGGGTTGTCTTTTTTTTTTTTTTTTTTTGAATGAGGTTTGTTGGTGGTGTAAAATGTCATGGAATCAGTTCCAGTTTACATAGTGAGTCCCTTTAAGATTTCTTAGGAGTGACTGATGGGTTTTGAACTGCCGAACTTATACCAGAACTCCTGGGGTGTGTTTTAAGTCAATTTCTTTTGAGATTTGTTGTTGTGAAGTACTATCGAGTCAGTTTTTGCTCAGTGAATTAGGCAAGGGGAAGAGGGATGCCAAGTCACATGAAAATGGCCCAGGAGCGAAAGTTCCAGAGCCGTCAGAGAAGAAAGCCTTCCCCCTGAGTCAGCATGCTGAATTCTGACTTCCAGTCACTACCTGTATGTCTGTGGTATCTGGCATATTGATATGATGGAAATGATTCCACCAGTATTTCAGATCCCAGCAGTGTCACCCAGGGCAGATTTCATCAGAGCCTCCAGGCTAAGATAGACTAGGAAGAAGGATCTGGCTATCTACTTCTGTGAAAAGTGGCCACTGAAAACCTTATGAGTAGCCACAGGACATTGTCTGATAGAGGGCTCCCTTCACATTGGAAGATACTCAGAATATGACTAAGGAAGAGTCAGTGCTACGAAAACTTCATATAAGCATGCTTTATTACATTTAATGAGATGGTCTCCTTTTATTTCTGCACGAAGTCTTTAGAATTCCTTGTGCATTTTCCACTTGCAATATCTCTCACATGTCAAATGCTCAGGGAGCCATATGTGGCTTGGGAGGGTTGCCAAATGTTGCAGGCTAAGGTGGATAGATCCCAGGAGGCAGGTCAGTGAGCGCTGCAACAGGCATGTGTCTAGGGGCTGGGAAGACTTCCTAGAGGAGGAAGACAGTGATTGGCCCTGGGGACAAACTTTAGGTGACTTGCATCTCGGGTGCCGAGTCTATGTCTGTTCCACTCATTTGTCTGAATCTCCGTGCAGGCAGCCGGGGCCGGGGCCGCGGCTACAGGGGCCGAGGCAGCCGCGGAGGGTCTCGAGGCCGAGGCATGGGCCGGGGTGGCCGAGGCAGGGGCCGGGGCTCCGTGGGTGGAGATCACCCAGAAGATGAGGAGGACTTCTATGACGAGGAGATGGAGGTAAGATTCCCTTCATCTGGTGGCTGGGGGGCTGGCTGCACTGCAGACAGCATAGGGTCTCCTATGTGTAGAAAGGCACAGGAAGCCTCTCTTATTGTCTAGGAACAGAACCATTGGGAAGGTACAAAAGGGTAGACAGAGAATACTCTTCCTTCCATCCCTGTCCCTCCCAACAAGTCAGGGCTGCTGGCTTCTAGAAATAGTTCTTGTCCGCCAATGTCGGGTGTTGTGTTAGCGTTAAGGTGTCATGTTAGGGTTAGGGTGTCATGTTAGAGTTGCTTATCCCCCTCCCCCCCAGCATGCAGGCAGTGAGTCTCCTTTATGGTCACACAGGAGGGACTAGAGTCTGGTGTTGATGTGCCACATGGGCTGGGGCTATCAGGAGTGAAGACCACGTGGGAGGAATGAGTTGTGCGCAGAAGGGTCATGGCCCGGGTTCCCGCAGTGACCACCTGCTCTCAGACTCTGCAGTTAGAGGCTGGGGCGCCCTAAGGATGTCCAGCAAGGGGGTGGGGGCAGAGTGTACACAGCTGTCAGGTCCAGCTGGGGCAGGGTTATGTCTCTCTCCTTCCTCAATAATCCCAGTATGGAGAAAGCGAGGAGCCCATGGCAGATGACGATTACGATGAGTACTCCAAGGAGCTGAACCAGTACCGCCGTTCCAAGGATGGCCGAGGGCGAGGTGGGCAGGGACCCCGGAGGTGATGAGCTTGTGGGGGTACGCCTTCCGGCAGCCGTGGAGCTAATACTGCCTCCACCCTCTAGGTTTAAGTCGAGGCCGAGGCCGGGGCTCACGAGGCCGAGGGAAAGGCATGGGCCGAGGCCGTGGGCGCGGAGGGAGCCGTGGAGGGATGAACAAGGGTGCCATGAACGACGATGAGGACTTCTATGACGAGGACATGGGCGTGAGTCAGCCCCTACCCCACCCCTCAATCTACCTTTTTGCCCAACGCCCCTTGGATGTTCTTGGAATTTAAAAAAATTTTTACATTTGCGATTTATGAGCATGAATTCTGAAAGTACAATTATTCTGACAGAGTTTTTCACAATACTTTACATTTTGAAAAACAAAATTATATTGTTTTCATTTTGTTGTTGAGGTATCATACGTTCAGCAAAGCGTACCTCAGTTCAGCAGTTTTATACCTCCCATTCTGGGATAGGTACCATTCTCATCCTCAGGAGAGTTTTTCTGTCCCGTAGTTCCCATCAGTTGGTAACCGTTTATTCTTGGGCACATCTGTGAACCTCTAGACTCACTGAAATCGAGCCTCTGGTTTCAAAGGCTGGCTCTGGGCGGCCCACTCAGTTAGCCTTGGAGGGTCTAGAGTAAGGTAGAAACATTTTCCTTGGTATTGATGTGGAACATCAATTTTTACTGGTCAGCACTGCCCATCCACCTCCCCATTGAAGCCGAGTCGATTCCCAGTCAGAGCGACCTTACAGGAGAGTGTACAGCTGCCCCCCAGGAGAGTCAGAGTAGCGTCATCTGCTTTAATAAGACAAAGAATCTTTACTCATCCAGAAGGTGGGAAAATGTGTACGTTTTGTATGTGGTTAAGTGCTGTCAAGTGGATTCTGACTCACAGTGACCCTGTATAGGGTTTCCAAGGAGTGGCTGGTGAGTTTGAACCACTGACCTTTTGGTTCAAATGACCTTGCGGTCCAGTGGTTTATCCCACAGCACCATAACAGGACTTCCAAGTATTTGTACGTTGTTAAGTGCCGTTGAGTCATTTCTGACTCACAGCGACTCTGTATAGGGTTTCCAGGGAGAGGCTGGTGAGTTTCAACTGCTGACCTTGCAGCTCAGACCGACTTTGCAGTCCAGCACATTATCCCACAGTACCACACCAGGATGCCGAGTATTTGTATAAGTGAGGTTGAATATCTTTTCACATTTTGAAGAGCCATTTAGTACTTTTCTTCCTGGGAACTGCATATAATCTTCTCTACCTTTTCTAATGGGTTATAGGTCTTTTTTACTTAAATGATGGTTGTTGTTAGGCACTGTGGAGTCTGTTCCAACTCAGAGTGACCCTGGGTATGACATTTGGCACCATCTCACACGTTGCACCCATTGTGACAGTCCAGCTCATTGAAGGAATGTGGTATTTAAGGAAACAGATAACCTTATGTTTCTCCTTCAGAGAGCCTAGTGAGTTCAGACTGCCATCCTTTTGGCTGGTGGCAGAATGCTTTAATCTCTGTGCCACCAGTGTCAGAGCTCACGCAGCACTCCATCAGACTGGGCTCCAGCCCTGTACTCACCTCACCGGAGGAAGAGTCCCCTGTGGGTCAGCTCAGTACCCTCGTCACCTGAAGTCACTCCTGCCAACCGCCAAGCCCTCCTGTCAGTCCAGACCCGTGTCTAGCCCATCTCCTCCCAATTCTATCATGTTCCCTTTCACCCTGGCTCTATGTCCCCAACAGGATGGCTGTGGAGGGAACTATCGGAGGAGTGACCACGACAAGCCCCACCAGCAGTCAGACAAGAAGGGCAAAGTCATCTGCAAGTACTTCGTGGAAGGGCGGTGCACGTGGGTAAGGGGCCTCGTCATAAGTGTGGGACTGTATACTGGGTAGGCGGCTAATCCTGGCTGTGAAACAGGAGTGAAGGCAGTGGGGTGGAGCTGGGGAAGCTGGGATGTGCAGGGGGGAGGCAGACAGAGGCAGACAGCAGAGGGGTGGAGCTGGGGAAGCTGGGATGTGCAGGGGGGAGGCAGACAGAGGCCCAAGAATGGAGCTCCTCCTGGAGGAGGGAAGTCTGAAGCTCCAAGGCTGGGGAAGGAGAGTGGGAGCCTGTCCCCGTGGCCTCCCTAGTTGCTCTACAATAACAGAGCTGTCAGAACTCACTGTCCACTGCTGCTGCCGCCTCACATTCTCGCCGCTTCTCTTCCAGGGAGACCACTGTAACTTCAGCCACGACATTGAGCTCCCAAAGAAGCGAGAGCTGTGCAAGTTCTACATCACGGGCTTCTGCGCCCGCGCCGAGAACTGTCCCTACATGCATGATATCCTTTGTCACCAACTGCCTCAGGTGCACTGAGAGGCCTGAGACAGCAGTGTGTCTCCAGTCTCCTCACCTTCCTTTGTCACAGCTGGCTTGTGTCCTATCTAGCGGTACACTGAGGCACACAATCTGTGTCTTCTCTTGTACATACGAGAGCTTAAAAACATGGTGGAAAAATTCCATTGGCTTTTTCATTCTGTGTTTCCACATACTTTCTGAAACCCTCTCATACTTTCAAGACTTACCTGTGGCCTTTCTGGGATTTTCCCAGCTGGGTACGTCACCTAACTCCTTTCACTCCCACTGGGGATAGGGACCCGGGCCCCCAGGGTGGGAGGTGCTTGGGTGAATTGGACGAGTCCTGGCTATGCTGCCCGTGTGCTGTGCTGCCCTGAGGAAGGCACCTGATTCTTTCGCTTCCAAGTCAGAGGGGTTGGCGGGTTCGTGAGGTGAGGTGTTGACCTTAATTTCATGGGTACGCGATTTCCCTTGTAAGTTGTACCACACAACCGGGAACTGCATCAATGAGGACGATTGCATGTTCTCCCACGACCCGCTGACGGAGGAGACCAGGGAACTCCTGGATAAGGTGAGCACCCAGGCCGCTCTTCTGGAGCCAGGGTCAAGATTTCCTGTTACATCAGTTCCCAGCTGGGCCATTGTAAGGAGGAAGAAGTGAGACCACATTCTTTTCTTCTGTGGTCCCCAATGTGTCTTCTCTCTGGCTGTTTTCTGTTGAGGGTAGTGCTTGCTGTTAAGTGCCTTCAGTTCCAACTCATAGTGTCACGGTACAAGGTTATTGAGAGAAGATGGTGTGTTTGAACCACAGACCTTGGGGTTAGCAGTTAAGTGTTTATCTTACATACAGCACACAAAAATAACAGACCCGTTGTCAAGTTAATTCTGACTCAACAACTGTGTAGGATCAAGTAGAACTGGACCAGAGGGTTTCCAAGGTGGTCAGTCTTTATGGAGGCCCCTTCTTTTTCCCTTGGAGTAGCCTGTGGGTTTGCACTGCCCACTTAATTGGGCGGCTCAATGCTTGGGGTCTTGTTGGGGGGTGGAGAAGCAGCTTTACAAAATGGATGTTGCCTGGTCTGCCTTCAGACACATTTGTGACCTCTTAGTTGTCGGTCGGAGAGCATCCACGCTGCACAAACCACCAGAGAGCTCTAGGGGGCCTCCATTTTAATGGAGATGTCTGGGGTTACTTCCGCAGAACTTGTTAGTTGTTGGCTGTTGTCCAGTCCGACTTGCTGCACCTTCTTCAGGACCATTGGTGTGCGAGTGTCTGCCAGCTTAGGGGGCTCCTCTTCCAACACACCACTCCGTCAAGGTTTTCCTTGGTCCGTGTTTTCCAAAGTAGACCTGCAGGCCTTTGTCCTTAGTCTGAAAGTGCCACTGAAACCTATCCCTCGTGGGTGACCCTGCTGCTATTTGATAATAGCACAGCAGCGTACAAGCCACCAGTCCAGAGTGACACACAGACAGACAATGTCTTTATGTGGCTGAGGAAGTGCAGGCGATGAGGACAGGTCTGTGGAAGAGGAACTTCTCTGATGAGGTTGCTGCTCTCTCGCTCTGCAGGTGGTACTGGAAATTCAGTCTCTTGTCTATTCTCCATTGGGAGTTGAACTCAGGACTCTGGGGTTCCCACTCCTGCACATGGTTACCAGAGGGGCCTCCAAAGTTCAAATGGGGTGAGAGCAGGTCTCCTTGTAAGTGAGGACTTTGCTGCTAGGCCTTCTAGTTCTCAAACCATTGTAGGAGGTGGTAGATGGGCTATTTCTCTAGATAGAAAAGATTGGAGTCCTTGACTGCGTTAGCTAGCTTCCAGTGTCTACCTGTCACCCCACCCCAGCCCGCCTCCAACTGCCCTGCTTAAACAGTGGCAGGGGCCATTGGAGGGACTCTGGGCAAGCCCTGTACCAGTAAGAGTGTCACTATCCTACGCAACACGCAAAATATCCGTGGACAAAATTCTTATCTTTGCCAGACCCTTTCGGGAACCTGTTAGCTTAGGAATGGGGTTTATAATTAATCAGTAAATACCTAGAGTCTGTGAGTCCTTTTGCAGTCTAACCAGCCAGTGGACTTACAGACATATCTGATTTTCCATGTGAAGAACTCCGTACTATCTGGTTGAGGCCTGCCCCCTGCTGGTGGCTCAGCATCTGTGCTCAAGACAAGCACAGCCCTACAGAACACACAGTCACAGAACTCAGTGAAAATATTTTCTGTTTTTTTGATGGGTGGGGTAGGAAGCTCGTTTGGCACCTGCAGCCCATCTCCATTTAACCAGCCACAGTTCAAGAGCTCAGTAGCTGGTGGCCGGTGGCTCTGGTACTATACAGTGTAGCTGTTGGTACCCTGATGAAAACTCAGATCACAGTTACGCTTCTAGCCACAGGTATTTTAAATCAAAGCTTCTGTACCGCCCCAGCAGAGGCCGACTTCCAGTAGTTTCGAAGTTAGGAATGAAATGGAAATAGCCATACCAGGCTCAAATCTTGCTCCATTCCTGAGCCTTTTTTCCTGCTTTATATGGAGGTCCCATCTCTGCTCTCGAATTTGCTTTGTTTTAAGCTAACAGGATGGCAAAACTGGTCAGTCTCCACATGCACCGTATTTGTATGGTCCTAGTGTGGCTCTGTAGGATAAGTGCTGGACCAGAAGGTCAGCGGTTCAAATTCACTAGCCCCTCCTCAGAAATCTTATATAGGGTTGCCATGAGTCAGAAGTGACTTGATGGCACTTAACAACAACAACCCCAAAGGGCGTTCCATGCACCTTATTTGCATATTGGCAAGCTGCCCAATTCTCTTTGTGGGCCACAGGCATCTTTTTTGCATTGTCCCACCTGATGGGCATTACAGACGTAGGCAAAAAAGCTGTGTAAATGTGATTCATCACAGTACAGATAGCAGCTGATTTTAAACCTGGGACTGCTGCTGCTTGGTGTTAAGTGCCATCCAGTCAGTTGTGACTCATAGTAACCCTGACTAACCTTGTGGTCAGCAGTCCAGTACTGACCCTACAGCACCCACCAGGATTCCTCCTGATTGTTAAATACTACCTATCTCATAAAGTCCCGCCTGTTCAGTGTACAGTTCTGTGAGATTTGGCGAAAATGCACAAAATCAAGACCCCAAAATAACCGCAAAAACTCTTCTATCCTCTCCCTGACCCCAGCTTCTGGTGACCACTGATCTGTTTTCTGTCCCTTTAGCTGTCTCAAGCATGGTCTTTCAATGGACTTGTACGGTGTACAAATTCTCTTAAAATGCATCTACCTGTAGGGGTGTGTGTGTGTGGGCGTGGCCTTTTGAGTTTGGCTTCTCACCCTCAGCCTGGTACATTTTTCCACTGTTTTCTGAGTACTGTTCCATTGTATGGCTGGATGTGTGTCTGGTCATCCATTTAAGGACATTTGGGTTGTGTCTTTATTCTCTAGTGCTGCTGTAACAGAAATAACACAAGTGGATGGTTTGACAAACAAGAATTTATTCTGCTGGTTAGTGTCCTCCCGCAGTTTGGGAGGTGACAAGTCTGAATTTGGCTCATCAGCTATAGGGGAAGGCTTTCTCTGTGTTGGCTCTGGAGGAAGGGTCTGCTCTCCTTCCCACGTTTGAGGACTCCTTGGAGATCTCCATGTGTCTTGGCTTCAGTTTTTCCCTGGGTCTAGGAGGTTCTCGGCGCAGGGACCCCAGAACCAAAGGACACACTCTGCTCCCAGCTCTTTCTAGGTGGAACTGAGGTTCCTCTTTCTCTGCTTGCTTATTTGATGTCTTTTTTTAATTCTCAAAATTGATTGAGTCAAGACATAGCATAATCAGGTCACAAAAGATAATTACATAATTACTGAGAATCAAGGCCTAGCCAAGTCGACACATTTGTGGCCAGGGGAGTGGCGGGGGATGCACAATGTAATCCATGGCAGTTGGTTGCTAGTTTGGGGCAAAAACTTTTTTAAGCCTGTTGACTCAGGTTTACTTTTTTCTCCCATGGACGAGCATGCATAGTCTGTTGGCTCTTCCAGGCTTAACCACAATCCTTTACATTATCTATTAATGTGACAATCTCTCGTCACTTGAGACTCTTGAGAGGGTGGCTCTGGTTTTTGGACCCCCTTAACTCTGTCAGAACCAATCCTTTGAAGGAGGCAGTGGGAACTGGACCAGGGCTGGGAGCTACAAGGACAAGCACACCCCTGTGTTGGTTTCTTTTTTGTCTTTTCAACAGAAGGGCTCCAGACTCTGGCGCTTCTCTCCCAGACTTCCAGGTGGTGTTGGCAGGTCAGGGCAGGGCAGGAGATGACAGATGAGTGATGACAAGGAAGCAAGGAGGCAGTGTGTGTCTAGAGCTGGACTTCCCCTCAGGACATTGTGGGGGCTACTTGGGGCTGGGGAGTGGGGTCTAGGAGGACAGTCTAGAAGTAGCTTCGTGGAGGGTGTTTTGAGAGTTGGGGCTTCAGAGTCCCCATTTATCAGAGACTTATGACGTGCCCTCTGGGTGCTGAGGAACCCTGGTGGTACAGTGGTTAAACTCTGAGTTGCAAACTACAAAGTTAGCATTTCGAATCCTCTAGCTACTATGGCAGTGTGCCTTGTGTTCCTGTAAAGATTCACAGCTTCGGCAAGCCTGTAGGGTCACTTGGAATCCGGTAGCAGGGTTTTTGGTCTTAATGCTGCGCAGAGGACAGCACAGAGATGGGTAGTCTCGATGCCCAGAAAAGAGAGACACTGGCCGGATTGTCCGTAGGCTGTGCTGAGTCATCTTACAGAAGAGTAATGGAGGGCCAGGCCCTGGACAGTGGGCAGAAGTGGGCACCAGGAGGTGGAGGGAGGAATGGGGTATGCTGGGGTGAGAGGGGCCAGAGGGTGGACCAAGGAGGCCACTGTGGAAGGTGGGTGTGGGCTTGTCATTGTGGAATCTGGCAGGACCCTGGTGCCTTCACCTGAGAACACCAAGGAGCCATCAGAAGGGCTCAGCCACGGGGACAGCATTGTCCCTGGTCTCTACCCCAAAATGCTGGTTCCAGTTCATGGGTCTCCCTGTGCCAGAGATCCCAGAGTTTCTGCTTACCCTTTTACACCTCCCAGAGCCCTCTGCACCTCTCACCCTCGTCATATTGCTCAGCAGATCTACCTGATGCTCGCCTGCTCTGATCCTGAGTCACTTCTGGGGCAAACGAGCCAGCTCGAAGGCTGAGGTGTGACACCTCTGAGCCATGTTAGCATCTGTCGAGGGATCAGTGTTGGGCCCTCCGGGATAAGATGATATGCTAGCAAGCAGCCCTTTCTAAGGTGGCCTGTGTTGCCGGGAGCCAGCCCCAGCAAACTTTCCAGGGTTTTTCCGAAGACGGATGCGGCGTTGGCGAAGGATGGGTCTTAATTCAAATTCTTCTTCTTCCATACTTTATTATTCTTATTTCTGTGCTACTCTACTCTCTCATTCTTTACCCTCCTGCTCATCTCTTCTGCTTCTTTTCTAGCTTCCCTCCTTCCATTTCTTTACTGTCTCCTTCTCTACATTACTCTCACTCTTTTTCCTTCTTCACTCCTCCTCCTAATTATCTACGTTACTTCCTTCACTACTCCACTCCCCTGCTCCTTCTCTACATTACTCCCTCTATCCTCCCTCCATTCTTTTCTCGTCTCCTCTCCACCTCATACTCCTTCTTCTTCCCCTTCCTCTCTTTTCCTTCCTTCTGCTTCTACTTAACCTCTACTTCCTCCCAGTCTATCTTACAACCCCCTTATATACCATTACAAAAAACATTGCTTTCATAGTCATCAATGACATCAAAATACAATCAATTCTGGGGCACATTCTTCATGATTTACAACAGGGATGAAAAGTTACAGCAAAGAGGCATTATCTCAAGGCATACGAGACATTCTGGCGCCTTGAAACCTTTTAGTTAAACATTTGTTCCTACATAAATCTATTCTTTTCTTTGAGAAGCAAGTTAACCTTCACATATGTTTCTTAACCTTTGTCTGTTAAGTCTTGTTAATTTTAGTTGTTAGGTGCAATTAACTCACCATTAACTTCTTCCATACACTATCTGTTTATAGCATACAAAAACATCACCTATCAGAACACTTAAAAAACTGAGGCTATGAAAAACAACTTTTCTATTTTACTGATCATTAATTTAAGAACGTCTAAGTCAGACTTTTTATTTAGTATCTGTATATACCCCATAAGGAGCTCTGGTAGCGTAGTGGTTACAAATTGGGCTGTGAACCTTAAGGTCAGCGGTTCGAAACTACCAGCTGCTCCGCAGGAGAAAGATGAGGCTTTCTACTCCCGTAAAGATTTACACCCTCAGAAACCCTGTACAGGATCGCTATGGATCGGAACCGACTCGATGGCACTTAACAACTTAACAACAATATACCCCATAGTCTTTATCTATAGTCTAATTGTTTTTAGGAATTCTTGTACCCACAGCCCTTATTTATGGCCTAGTTGCTTTTAGGGAATCTTTATTGCCTTAAACTGAGGCTACAGGGAAGAATGTTTACAATCACTAAACCTAAGCTGCTAGTAATTCAACTGACAAATCCTGTCTCCTAGCAGTCTTAAGAACATTGTTAATATAAGTATTAAAACTAACTAAGTAGAATAAAATGTAGCTAATATATGGCTTCTAACTTTTAATAAAAATATACTAAAGTGTAGGAGAGTCAAAATCTAAAGTAAAAGGATACTAATAAAATCATGAATAAATTGGAGAATGATTCAACAAGAGAAAATTTAACTAGGGATCTGCGCAGAGACTATTAAATCCTTACAGCTCTGCTATCCAAGGAAAATAGTTCAGTGTTGCGTTGCTAAAACAATGAATTCTTCAATGTGCAGGGTCTTCGTCGTCTCATTGATTTATTTTAATTCCTCGATTAATATGTCACAATTTATTCATTTTTATTCCTTAATTAATTATGGCTCTTGCCACTGTGCTGCTAACTCTTAAACAGCCGCCCCTTCCGTCCTCACCTTGGCTCATACCCTCACCCTGCTGTTCCCACAGATGCTGGCAGACGACGCGGAAGCAGGTGCCGAGGACGAGAAGGAAGTTGAGGAATTGAAGAAGCAAGGCATCAACCCCTTGCCCAAGCCACCACCTGGCGTGGGCCTCCTGCCCACGCCACCTCGCCCACCTGGACCTCCAGCCCCGACCTCTCCCAATGGCAGGCCCATGCAGGGTGGTCCCCCCCCCCCCCCCCTCCCACCCCCTAGGTACCCAATGTCTAAGTTGCTCCCCCCCCTCCACCCCCACCCCCACCGCCTGGGCCCCCGCCGATGCCTGTGCATGAGCCCCTGTCCCCGCAGCAGCAGCAGCTGCAGCAAAACATGTACAATAAGAAGATCCCTTCCTTGTTCGAGATCGAGGTCCGGCCCACAGGCCAGCTGGCTGAGAAGCTGGGCGTGAGGTGAGTGCCTTCCCTTCCACAGAGTTCTGGGCCAAGCCTGTCCACTTGGCTTTAGGACAGTCCATGTCTCCTGGCCATGTGGGCTCCTCACAAGCACCCATTCCTTCTCTTCCTAGGTTCCCTGGACCCGGTGGGCCCCCAGGGCCCATGGGACCTGGGCCCAACATGGGACCCCCAGGACCAATGGGGGGACCCATGCACCCCGACATGCATCCTGATATGCACCCAGACATGCACCCTGACATGCACCCTGACATGCATCCAGACATGCCGATGGGTCCTGGCATGAACCCTGGACCCCCTATGGGGCCTGGCGGTGGCCCCCCCATGATGCCCTACGGCCCTGGAGACTCCCCACACTCGGGGATGATGCCTCCCATCCCGCCAGCACAGAACTTCTATGAGAACTTCTACCAGCAGCAGGAGGGCCTGGAGATGGAGCCCGGACTCATCGGGAGTGCAGGTATGTAGGGCCCTGGTATGGCTGCACCTCGCAGGGAGGTGGATTTTCTTCCTTGGTCGGTATCCCCATCCGTGTCTTATCAGTAGGCTGGGGTCTTGTGTGCCTGCTTTCATTGTCCCTTTGTAATAGTGGATTGATTAAACTTTGCTGGGAAGTTAGAGGGTCGAAGTGTGAAGCAGCATCAGGCTAGGTGGCCAACGCTCCAGTAGGGACCAGTCACGTGCCCCTGCCAGTTTAGCCTCCTGCCAGACAATCCTTGACTGGGAGCTGCTCAGGGCATCCATTGTGTCATGCCAACCCTTTCTATGCCTACCACAGACTGTTTTCCTCTTTCCTTCCTTTCGCACTGAAATAGGACAGCTTAGTGGCCATTTTGGGTGGGTTACCTGAACTGGCCCCAGGCCACCACACCTGAGGGATGAGGGTGTAACTGGAGGCCATGGGCCAGGCATTGTTCTAGGCCCTAGGCCTAGAACACAGTGAGCAAGTGGACAACCTGTCACTGCTTCCACACATCTAAGTGGGAGGATACTGCATTAGCCAGTGGCGTTCAGTAGGAGGCGGGGAAACAGAATGGAGGAGTGGGCCACTTGTAAGGACGAGGCTGCTGCGGATGAGTGGTCTGAATAGGAAGCCCAGCCTGCTGGGGAAGAGCACAGGCCGCCACCATGCAGTTCACTTGGGAAGGGAGAGCAGAGGGCAAGGGACCCAGATACCAGGATGGGGAGTGCTCTGGGGTTGTAAGTGGAGTGAGCCAAGGCTGCCAGTGGTGAAGGGTCAGAATGGAACCGGAACCGGAGAAGCATCCAGGCTGCTGTGGGGTGACCCTGGGTGGTGGCCTGAAGGTGGCAAGCAGTAATAGGTTTGGGCTTCATGGCTTGGAGTTGGCACCATTGTGAGTTAGTGAGAGTGTGTGTGTGTGTGTGTGTGTGTGTGTGTGTGCGCGTCTACATAGTGGACAGGAAAGGCATGTGACCGGTGGTTTGTACAAACTTGGGGCAGAGCAGGTTTGAGAATGGGTGTCAGTTAGCTTCCATGTGGAAACTTGGAGGGGGAAGGGGAGAGGGTCAGGCTGCTGATGTAAATGTGAACGTGTTTGGCTTGTGGCGTGGAGCGGGGTGCAGGGAGGCACAGATGAGCTGAGAGTCTCTTCATAGCTGCCTGGAGGCTGGGGAAAGAAGCAGGACTTTAGAATTGTAGAGGAGGGATGTGTTCTCCAAGGAGAGCAGCAGGTTGCCCGCCCCCTTCCTTTTTCAAAGGTACAGGAATAGAGGAGGGAGTTAACCTGGGGGTCTCTAGAGTGCTGGTGTGGTTACCTGGGGGTCTCTAGAGTGCTGGTGTGCTGGTTCTATACTGTGGAGTTAGCTCTCAGAGCAAGCCTGGAAATCTTTACCAGCGCAGATCTCCCAAGGAGTGGCTGGTGGGTTTGAACTGAATGACCTTGGCGGTTAGCAGCTAGCTAACCAGGGATAGTTTGGCCTCTAAAGTAGTTCGCTTTTTAAAAGCACTCAAGCTGTAATTCATGTACCACAGAATCTACCCTTCTAAATGTGCAGTCCGGGCGGAATCCTAGCAGACAGGAACAACACAAACAATTTCCCACTAAAATGAGTGATACAGTATTATAGCTGCGCCTCGTCCAAGACCGAACACTCACGGGAGCCAGGAACACAGGGCAGCCCCGCCGAGTGCTGGCTCTGCAGTTCCCTCTGTCCCTTCCCAGCCTTGTGAGCCTCTCTGTCTCTCTGGGTTTTGTTTGTTTCTTTACAGTAATAGAAGTTTAATTGGTTGATTTCAAAATTTAGTACTTTTTTCTTGTAATTTTTGTGAATTGAAGGAAGCTTTGCAGACAGTATGATCAGTTTTATATTAATAAAATCGTGCACTTTATTTCATCTCAGTGATTACAGTCCCCTCCGTGTAGCAAATAGTTCCCCCTCTTCCTCCCTATAGTTCCTGTCTGCATTCCACCCACCTTCCCGTCCCTTCTCAATTTTGTCCTTAGTAAAATGGTGCCTGTTTTGAATGATTGGCCATTCCATGGTGAGCATGCTTTACTAGGCTTGTTGTACCAATCTACTGCTTAAGGTGAAAACTGGACCTTGAGGGTGAGTTCCTTTCCAGACCTGAAGGATGATTGAGGACCAGAGTCTCAGGTTCCTCTAATCTCTTTGTGACCAGTAAAACTGGTCTTGTTTTTAAAATAATTTGGAGTTCTGTTCCACAATTTATCCCACTCCATCTAGGACCCTCTTAGGTGATCCCTGTCAGAGCAGTTGGTAGTGGGGCTGGGTACCTTCTAGTTCTTCTGGTCTCAGTTTTGTGGAGACTGATGTTTTCATGTTCCATCAGTCCATTGGACTCATTGATTCCAAGCCTCTTCAGTTCTTAGCACTCTTCCCTCTTCCCTATGGGGAGATACCAATAGCTGCACCTTAGGTAGCCACTCGTGAGCTTTCAATAAGATTCAAGACACACTACCCACCCAAGTAGGATGGAGAACACTATCTGTGTCATGCCAAATGACCAGGGTGTTGTTAGTACTTGGTTTTAAAACACTTTTTCCTTTTCACCTAATCCATTAGTCATTTTTGTAGCTCAGATCCTAGAGATAGAGTGGTTCACTTTTTTTTTTCTTTTTTCATATTTTAATGTGTTTCTTGTGAAAATCTACACAGCATATTAGCTCCCCAGTGAACAATCTTTATACAGCTTTCTCCATAACACTGGTTACAATGTGCCAACATTCTATTCTTTGTGTTCTGTTTGCATTAACCTCACTTCCCTGCCCCTCCTTAGCATCTTGTTTTTGTTGTAGGATAAATGTTGACCATGTAAGGAGCCTCGGTAGGTAGCGGAGTGGGTTGCATGTGGAGCTGTTAACCACAGGACCAGTAGTTTGAACCCATGAGCCACTCCATGGGAGAAAGAAGAATCAGGCTGTTCCTGTCAAGAGTTACAGTCTCAGAAACCCAAAGGGCAGTTCTACTCCGCCTTATAGGGTTACTGTGAGTTGAAATCAACTCAGCAGCAGTAGGATTTTGGGTTTTGGTCTCATGTAGCCCAGCACAGGCCTCACAGTCAGCCCTGAGGGCAATCCTCACTGGTGATCCTGTGGCTTCATAGCCAGTCTGTTATTTAGATGAGAGGCGTCTGCTGGAAGGCTTCTGTTTCAGGTTCAAAGGGCTCATCTAGTCTGTTTTAGGAGTCTTATCCCACATGTTCCTCACTCTATGTTGTAATCTAAATCAGAGCGGTTGGTAGTGGGAGCCAGGCACCATCTAGTTCTTTGAGTCTTTGGTTTCTTTGTGAGCTTCTCTCAACAATAAGTCTCATGATGGAGGGACTCACTTGTTTGCGCACTTGATGTGTCCCCAGCCCCAAACTCACGTGTGGCCTGGAGCATGCTGCTACCAAATTATACGATCAAATTCAGGGGCCAGAAGAAGGGGGAGCTTCAGTTTTTGTTGGGTGTACTTTTCTATGTGAAGCATGTACAAACTATTGCTCAGAAAGGCCGGTTGATTCTCATTCTTTGTGTTTAGTTACGTTCTATAAAATCCTGCCAGCATGAACTAGCAACACCTCAGAACCAGGCCTGTTAGTTCTCAGCTGCGGCCATTTGTTGCGTCTGCCCCATTCTGCATGTGTCCACAAGTGAGTGCTGCAAACAGGCTCTCGGAGTCCGGACTCCGTGACTAACAAGGACCGACTGTGTCTGTGGCCACACTTCAGTCATGCAGAACAAGTGTCCTTTCTTTCATTGTCACAGCTCCATGTTGAACAGACTCGTGTCTGTCCACCCAGATTGTTCCCTGGGGTAGCCCCTAGTCACACGGATTGTTGACAAGTAGGTGATGTTAAGCACATGAATGCACAGCAGGTAGGTGTGGCTGGTGGCATGTGATGCACGGTGCGGACAGAACCTCTTTTCTTCCATACAGTCCTCAGGATCTTCTCTGTGCCTGTCCGGCTGTTCGTCTGTCTGTCTCTCTCCAAACACACATACAGTGTCAGGGAAGGTGGTCCTCTTGTTGTTAGTCTGTGTGAACTCAGAGCGACCCCATTAGAACTGCTTCCCTGTAGGATTTTCCAGGCTGTGATCTTGGTGGAAGCAGATTGTGTGGCCTTTTCTCCAAAAGGGCTCCTTGGAGTGATCCCAAGCCTGTCATTTTCACCCCACAGCCTGCTTACCCCAGGCGGTTGAGTTCACATTGATGACTCTCCAGCCATTGCTTGCTGTTAACGGTGTTGTTCGATACGGTCAGTTCTTTTTGGTTCACAGTGAGCCCGTGAGATAGAACTGAACTACCCCACAAGGTTTTTGAGGCTGTAAATCTTTACAGAAGCAGACTGCCATTTCTTTCTCTTGCCTAGCAGCTGATGGGTTCGAACCACTGACTTTTCAGTTAGCAGCCAAGCGCTTAACCATTTGTGCTATAAGGGATCCTTCAGTTTCTTTGTAGGAGAAACAGACTTCTTTCCCTCGGCCCCATAAGTACAACAGCATGCTTATGGACACTGTCAGGGTGGAGAAGCCTGTGAGGAAGGAGGAGGAATTCTGAGCGTGAGCGCTGGGTTGCCATGTGACCACTGCAGTGCGCTGGAGGGTTGCGGTCTAATCCGGGCCGAGCTCCTATTGAAAGCTCATTGCGGAGATGAAGTGCGTGTCTTCTTTATGAGGTTTGAAAAGAAATGCTGGAACCTGTGCTTGATGCAGATCGTTAAATCAGCAGCACGTGGCATCAGAAGGGGACTGTCCATCCACCCTCTCTTCTAGTCCCATCTCCGGCGGCAGGTTTTGTGTCTGTCTTCTCAGACCCTTTTATTATAAGCACCTTAGCTGCTTCTGCCCTGTTTGCACTCCCTCGACGTCTCCCACGGCCCCAGTAGCTCTCCATGATCCTAGTTCTGTTACGTTGTTACCCTGAAACTTTTATTGTGAATTGAGTGAAGGTTTACAGAGAAGATCAACAGTTTTACATTCAACAAAGCACACTTTTTGGTTTTGTTTTCATAAAACAACAACAACCACACTTTGCTTCCAAAATCTCAGTGATTGCAATCCCCTCCATGTACCTAGTTATGCCACTTCCTCCCTGTGGTTCTGCTGTCCATTGCACCCTCCTTCCTAACCCCTCTGAGTGGTACCCCTTTGTTTTTGAATGGTGACCCGACCTTACTTACACTGTCGGCCCCTATATATCTAGTACTGCTTGTCTGAAAATTGGGCCATGAGAGTGAGTTCCATTCCAGACCTGAAAGGTGGCCAAGGGCCATAGTCTTAGTTTCCTGCAGTTTCTTTCTGACCAGTGAGCCTGATCTTTTTTTATAATTTTGAGTTTTGTTCCATGTTGTCTCCTATTCTCTCTGGGGCCTCTGATGTGTGATCCCTTTCCGAACACTTGGTACTGGTAGCCGGTTACCGTCTAGTTCTGGTCTCAGAGTCATGAGGACTGATGTGAAGCTCATTCTTAATGGCTGCACCTCTGCACCTCTGGAAGTGAGGGGGTTGCGGGGGACACTCCATTCTCCATAGTTGGGCTCCATGTGGGGCCCCAGGCAGTGCCCTGCAGGCAGGGCTGGGCTGTGTTGATGTGTGTGTAGGGTCTCTGCTTTAGGGTTAGGGGTGGCTTAGAGGCTGTACCTCGAGCCCGGCCCAACATGAAACCCTGCTTCTGCCCACCACAGAGGACTACGGACCCTGCGAGGAGCAGGTGGGGGGACCTGGGGAGCATTTCTTCCCTGAGCTGCCCATGGAGTCTGACAGCTTCTCTGAGGGCGGGCCTCCTGGCCGGCCAAAGCCAGGCGCTGCAGTTCCCGACTTCCTGCCCTCCACCCAGCGGGCTCTGTACTTGCGGATCCAGCAGAAGCAGCAAGAGGAGGAGGAACGAGCGAGACGGCTGGCTGAGAGCAGCAAGCAAGACCGGGAGAATGAGGAAGGCATGTATCCTCCAGGGACAGGCAGAAGGCAGTCATATCAGGAAGGGAGACATTTTCTCAAGGCCATGCAGTGGTCAGGCCAGGAGAGAATCATATGGTGGTGCTGCTAGTAGGTTGGGGCTGCCCTTGGAGTTTGGGTTGGAGAAGATGGATCCCATCCTTGGGCATGGGGTGTGTTGTGTTCTCCCCTAGAACTCACTGTCTTCAGAGAGACCCTTGCAGCCCCCAACCCAGCTCCTGGGCAGCTGAGAACTGGAGCTACTTGTTCACGGTGTCCAGAGATGGGCGGTCACGTCAGCCCCCAAGTCTCAACCTAGGGTCTCCTCCTTGGGTGGGATGGGACCATGGGGGTCCCTTATGGGAGTGGGACAAGGTTTCACCTACTTTGAAGGTGGAACTGGGACTGGTCTCCCCACCCTCTCTTCCTGGCTTCGGCAGGTCACCCATTTGGCTGCCTTGCCTTGGGACATGTGGGGTATGTATGAGCCCCGAGCCCAGTGGTACCTAGAGCACCTTGAGCAGTGACAGCCCTGGGCTGGGAGTCTCTCAACTGCTGGCACCTGGTCTGTTTTCTCATCTGTCAAATGGTATGATCACGTGCCAGCCTCCTAGTGTGAACCTTAAACGCTCCAGCCCCTCCTGATCTTCAGCATAGTGGCTCTCAGGGAAAACTGGTTCTCAGGGACGAAGTGGAGTAGCTGCTGGCCTGCAGGTGGCATGAGGGTCCCAGAGGGCTGAGCGCCCCTCCCTGTTCTTCCTCAGGTGACACGGGGAACTGGTACTCTAGTGATGACGATGAAGGTGGAAGCAGCGTTTCCTCCATCCTCAGGACCCTGCGGCAGCAGACATCTAGCCGGCCCCAGGCCTCGGCCGGGGAACTGAGTGGCGGTGTGTTGGGAGACCCCCGCCTCCAGAAGGGACATACCACAGGCAGCCGGCTGGCAGACCCCCGTCTCAGCCGGGACCCTAGACTTAGCCGCCATGCTGAGGCGTCCAGCGGGTCAGGGCCTGGAGATGCAGGACCCTCCGACCCCCGGCTGGCTCGCTCACTGCCTGCCCCCAAACCCGATGGTGGTCTCCACACGAGTCCTGCTGGCCCCGGCAGCACCAAGGGGGCCGTACCGCCTCCTGCTGAGGAGGAAGAAGGGGAGCGGGCCCTGAGGGAGAAGGCTGTGAACATCCCCCTGGATCCCCTGCCTGGGCACCCGCTGCGGGACCCACGCTCGCAGCTGCAGCAGTTCAGCCACATCAAGAAGGACGTGACCCTGAGCCGGCCCAGCTTCGCTCGTACTGTACTATGGAACCCCGAGGACCTGATCCCCCTGCCCATCCCCAAACAGGATACAGTGCCGCCTGTGCCTGCTGCCCTGCAGGCCCTGCCAGCCCTGGACCCCCGACTACACCGCCCTTCCACTGCGGCACCCACCAACCCCCGGCAGCGCCCCGGTGCCCCTACAGAGCCCGCTGCATCCGGATCCAGCCTGCCCGACTTTGAGCTCCTCTCTCGCATCCTCAAGACTGTCAACGCCACTGGCTCCTCGACAGCCCCCAGTGCAGGAGACAAGCCTAGTGACCCCCGAGTGCGCAAAGCCCCCACCGACCCGCGACTGCAGAAGCCAGCTGAGCCTGCAGCTGTCTCCCGGGCAGCCAAGCCTGGTCCTGCTGAGGTGTCCTCACAGGGTGGCAGCCCCAGCGGTGAGTCGTCGCCCCCTGCCATCGCCCCCTATGACCCGAGGGTGCTGGCGGCCGGTGGACTGGGCCAGGGTGGCGTCAGTGGGCAGAGCAATGTGCTGAGTGGCATCAGCCTCTACGACCCGAGGACTCCGCACGTGGCGGGTAAGGTCGTCACAGAGCCTGCCGCCGATGGGGGCGCCCAGCCCAAGGCCACCGAGGGCAATGGTAAGGGTGCTGCCACCAAAGCCAAGGAGCCCCCTTTCGTCCGCAAATCTGCCCTGGAGCAGCCTGAAGCGGGCAAGGCCAGCACCGATGGGGGCACAGCTACAGACAGGTACAACAGCTACAACAGGCCTCGGCCCAAGGCCGCCACGACCCCCGCTGCCACTGCCGCACTGACCCCACCTCAGGAGGGCACCCCGCCGCAGCCTGGGGTACACAACCTGCCTGTACCCACTCTCTTTGGGACTGTGAAGCAGGCACCCAAGACAGGCTCCGGAAGCCCATTTGCTGGCAACAGCCCAGCCCGCGAGGGTGAGCAGGACGCAGGGTCCCTCAAGGATGTTTTTAAAGGCTTTGACCCCACTGCCTCCCCCTTCTGCCAGTAGTGTTAGTTGAGCACGCACCCCTCCAGCCTGCCCCCCGGCCTGCCCAGTCCAGCAGACTTGCTAGGGGCATCAGGCCTGGGTGTCCTCTTTTTTTTTTCTTTTACTTTTTTTTTTTTTTTTTTAAATGTAGTACTTTCTTGGAAAGATAAATTGTATATAACCACCTTTGGTTCTGGTCAGTGACTCGGGTTCCCGCCAAGAACTTGTCCTTGTGCACATGAACTGTGACCTCCAGTCCCCCCAGAAACAGGCCCCGCTTTGCTGGCTGCACCTCCACCCACCATCCTCAGGACAGAGGAAGCAGTGGGTAACTGAGGAGATGGTGAAAGGCCGCCCACCCCTGTGTTGGATGATCCGGGAGAGCTGGAACCAAGATGGCGGAGCCCCAGCTCCATAGAACCTCCGCAGGTGGTGGTGAAAGTCAGAGAACCCAGAAAAAGGAAAAAAGTGGCCTCCACAGCTGTCCTGGCTGGAGGCTCCGCAGACGCTTTCCCCTCTGCTGTCTCTCCCATGAATTCACCTGCAGGTCTACGACTGAGTTGATCTTTAACCCGACACCCTCGCCTGGGTGACACATAGACATGGAGTCAGACTCAGGGGCTGGTGTCAAGGGGATGCCTTGGGGCTCCCCACCTCGTGTGTCATCAGTATTACCGTCTCTGTTGTGACCACGCCCCCACCACCCTCCTAGTACTGTGTCAGCACCGTCTGCCCCAGACCCCACCCCGTCCTTCCGGAGACAGCTCATGGATCCGTGGCATGGCCACTCCCCAAAACCCCACCCAGCCTCTTGACCCAGAGAGGCCTGGTGGTCTTTCAGAAAGTATTTCTGCTCCGCCTTCTGTGTTTGCACCTCAGTTGTACCACAGTTATATGTGGCACGTGATGTCGGTGCCGCACAGCACTGGACATGTGGGTGCTTGCATGGATGGGGCCTGAGGAGCAGGTGGGGGCTGCAGCCAGGCTGTCAGTGGCTGTGCCCCCTGGTGGGACAGGAGGAGACACTGCTCAGTCCCTTCTCCCCCAGGAGGCTGGCCCTGCCTGCCAGCCCACCATCTGCCCGCCGTTCCTCCTCTGCTGCCCCTTGGTGGAGGTGAGCAAGGTCCCTGCACCAGTGCCCACCTGCGTTTGGGATCTGGGGCTAGAAGCCACGGCGGGAGGCAGGGCGCCGGCAGGTCACCCCACCACAATCAGGTTGGTTCCGTTTTGTCTGTTTGTTGCTGGGTTTTGTTTTTGTTTTTGTTTTTGATAACAATCATTAGTGAGATTTTTTTTCCCTTCAGCCACCAGTGTTGGCCTTGAAGCCGAAGGCTGCCACCCTCAGTGTTTGGACGATATAAATCCATTGTGGTGGCGGTTTGGTTGGTTTGTTTGTTTCGCACCCTACCCCCTTTCTCCGGCTCACCTTTGAAAATTTTCTTTGGTAATAGAAAGATACTTTTTAAAAAAATTAAAAAAAAACCAAAACAAATGCAATCTGTGGATGAAATAGAAGATGGAATCCTCCTCCGAGAACACGGAGCCTAAAGAACTTCATGGGACTATGAATTCACCCATAATTTCTATTTGCCATCAAGCCGGAGCTTTTAACGAAAAATTGTTGTCTAACCAGGATTGTAACAAAAGTGTAAATACAATTTCAGAACTGAAAGTTGATGGTGCAAATATGTATATAACATACTGTATTTTTACAATGAGTGCCGCATGACTCCGTCCCCTTTTTTGTACTCCACATCTGTCTTCCAGAGCATTGCCGCCCTGTCTCCCTTGGTCTCTTAATCCAGTAATTATATTACTGCCATTAAAGGATGCAGTTATTTTAAAAACAAAACAAAAACAAAAAAACCCAGTCTCTCTGCTCCAGTCATTCACGTGGAATATCCCTGACCTGAGAGTAATCGAGGAGGAGGAGGGTGGGAGATGGCTAGTGTCCCGGAGGAGTGAATCCTGGATTGTTTTCTTGGGTTCTCAGTTCCAGGATACCACTTGTGAAGACATGGTGGGAATCTGTGCCTCAACCAGCCTTGAGCCTGCCATCACCATGGACTGCAGGCTACCACCCAAGATCCCAGCCCCTGCCTCCTAAGGTCCCACTTGGGACCAGTCTCTGAGCTTCCAGGATGCAGGGACCCCTGAGCTTATGACAAGCCAGTGATGAACACAAACATGGGACAACTGACATAGCTCAGGTTGGAAGAGAAGCTGGGCTTGATCATTAACCAAGGCTATCTCCCCAAGGAAAGAACCCAGGTAGCACAATGATCAAGCATTCAGCTGCTGAAAAGTTGGTGGTTTGAACCTACTCAGCAGCTTTGGGAGAAAGATCTGGCAGTCTCAGCTTCCATAAAGATTTTAGCCTAGGAAATGCCAGTCAGCAGTTCTACTCTGTCACATCGGGTCATTATGTGTTGGAATTGATGTCACCTGTAAAAGATGGCGCAGTGGGGGCATCTGGCCTCTTCTGACTTGGGGAAAGAGAAATCAAGATCAGCAACTGCCTAAGGCTGATTCCCATGAGGTGGGAGTCAGACCTGCTTCCTCTGATATCAGCCCTTCCTCCCACGGTACTGTGTACTTCTGTCCTGGGTTGTAATGGCCATATGGAACTCACCAACAGACAGCAGTCACAATGACAGGATCTGTAAGGGAAGTTAATGGGATCGAATTCAGGATGAGAAACCACTCAGGACAGCTCAGCCTAGCCTGTAGGCAGGCCTCTCTCTGGTCTCTCGGCCCAGCTTCTGCTTGGACAGGTGTTACAAAGCTCTTAATGCCAGGCCCCTAAGTGTCCAATGGTCCCCAGTTCACCAGTAAACATGGCACTCAGTTCTCTCCATCGGTGAACAAGCCTAACTGCCTACAAGTGCCTGGAGATACTCCACTGTGCCGTGAAGCCTTCCGCCCATAGATGATCAGCTCTCTGAATGCTCTGGAAAGCCCCCCACACTGTCTCCTACTGGTCTGCTGCTCACCATTGCTCACCATCTCCAGTATGACGTCTGTCTTTCTGTCTCCTGGGTCTAGGAGGTTCTCAGCACAGAGGACCCTCAGTCCAAACAAATATGCTCTACTCTGGCTCTTCTTTATTGATGTTAGTGAGTGCTCTGCTCTGCTCAATTCTTTCTCCTTTTGATCTCTTATAAGACAAAAGGCCTGACTTTTTGTAAGAATGGTAGCTCACTCTGAAATAGAGCCATAACCACAGGCACAGAGTCTAGGATTTACAGCATCGCAAGATGGACAAGTAATACGTCATTACATAACTGCCAAGCCACTTAAAATCATGATACAGCCAAGTTGATGCCTAACCTGAACTGTCAGAGGTCCCATCACCTTATTTGCATTGGCAGCAAGCTGCAGTTCCATTGATAGACCCCAAACCCCTTATTTGCATAGTACCATTCAATCATTGGAGTCCTGGTGTGGTACTGTGGGATAAAGAAGCATTGGACCACAAGTCAGTTTGAACCACAAGGTGGTAGTTCAAGCCCACCAACCATTCTTCAGAATCCCTATACAGGGTTGCTATGAGTCAGAACCAACTCAACAGCAATTATCAACTGCATCCAATCATTGTGCGGGAGTCACAAATACTATGGCTGAGGGAGGCCTATGCTCTTCTAGCCATTGGTCCTTTATACATGAACGATTAACTGCCTCTTCCCAATCGTTTTAACCAGTCCCAAAAAGTCATTAACAATTAGTTCTTCAGTAGGGCAGAGTCCTCAGGATGAGGTTAGTGCATCTGTTTTCAGTTTGCCCCCAGTGCATGTAAAGACTGGGCAGAGAAGAATTGATAATGTTGGCAGTGTTGGTGAAGAATATTGAAAGTACCGTGGGCTGGCAGAAAAACAAATTGTCTTGCAAGAAGCACAGCTAGAGAATGTGCCTTAGAAGCCAGGATGAGGAAACTTCTCTCGTGCTTTGGACATTCTATCAGATAGTCCCTGACTGAACATTTTGTTTAGCGAAAAAGGAGAAGACCCTCAAGGTAATGGATTGAGAAAGTCTCTGCAGCAATGAGCTCAAACATAAGGATTTATAAGGAGGGGGCAGGGCAGGGCGGTGTCATTCTGTTGTGTACCCTAGTTGTTAGATGCTGTTGAGTTGCTTCCAACTCATAGTGCACAACAGAGCAAACACGGCCTTGTCCTGTACCAGCCTCGTAATTGTTACTTTGAGCTCATTGTTGCTCCACTGTGTCAGTCCATGTAGTTGGGGTCTTCCTCCACTTTATCAAGCATGATGTCATCCAGAGACTAGTCCCTCCTGATAAAATGTTCCAAGTATGAGAGACAAAGACTTGCCATTCTGGCTTTTAAGGAACATTGTGACTGTGCTTCTTATAAGAGATTTGTTTGTTCTTCAGGCGCACCTTAGTCCTAAAACTGACATCTTAGCTCTTGAACATTTAAAAGAGGTATTTTGTGGGAGGTTTGCCTAATACAATACGTCATTTGATTTCTTGGCATTGATTGTGCACCTAAGCAAAATGAAGTGTTTGACAACTTCAATCTTTTCTTCGTTTATCATGGGACAACTGACGATATTTATCATGAGGATTTTTGTTTTCCTGACATTTGAGTTGTAATACATACTGAGGGATGTAATTGTTGATCTTCATCAGTATTTAAAGCCCCTTGGCTTCTAGAAAGTAAGGCTGTATCTTCTGCATGTGGCAGGTTGTTAATGAGTCTTCCTCAATCCTGTTGACGTATTCTTCATGTAATTCCTCTTCTCAGGTTATTTGTTCAGCATACAGATTGAATAGGTATGGTAAAGAATACAACCCTGGCACACACCTTTCCTGATTTTAAACCATTCATAACCTCTTGTTCTGTTGTAACGACTGTCTCCTGGTCTATGAATGTGTTCCGCATGAGCACAGTGAAGTGTTCTGGAACACCCATTCTTCGCAATGTTAGTGATGGTCTGTCATGTTCCACATGTTTGAAAACCTTTGCATAGTCAGTTAAGCAATAGTGAGCATCTTTCTTTAC